CGAGCCCCCAATAAAATGGTTTTTAAAAGGAAAAAAGGACACGGAGAGAAAAGATTCTATAGGAGAACCATGACCCAAATGAGAGAAGGATGAGAGAGGCTTTCAAACCACCATGGAATTCAGATTTCCTAGAGCCAGGGGTGGTGGGTGGACAAAAGTCCTGAAACAGCTGCCCTGAGATCATCTTTGGAAACTCCAACCCCAAAAATATCCCCTGAAGTTGACTTGCTTAAGACCAGAAACAAACAGTCTGACTTAACTCAGCAAGAATGTCTGCCGCTGAGAGAGTGTTTTGCTCTTTTGAGAACTATCTATAAGGGATTGGAGTGACAGCAGAGACTGGGGAGATTAGATAGAAGGCTTGGGGTGGGGGGGCAGTGAGTGTATGTTCACCGGGAGGGTGACTCAGAAAGGGGGGAGCCCAGTTGCATGACTTCAAGCACATCATCCCCATCATGGGACCGCGCTGGGAGGCAGTGCTGAATCGGTGGGTGTGCATCCTGATGCGCATGTCTCCAGCAGCAGCAGCGCAATCCATTTTAAAAACATTGTCAAGGAGCCCAGAGGCGAGCTGCAGCTCCTCCACCCACTCCTGGCACCCCACTCAGTGGCTTATCCCGTGGGACTGCAGCATCTCCAGGGCGCTGTCATTTCATTATGCGGATCTTCTTCAATGGGTTTCTATCACTCACCATGGCCATGTAGCTGGTGGTTTTGAACAGCTGACCTTGCAGTTAGCCACCCAACGTGTAACCACTACACCACCAAGACTCCCAAAGCGTGGGCAAGACCAGCAGTTCCATTCTAGGCAAATACACGGAATGACTGGAAGCCTATTCCTTCAGCCTGCATGGCAGCCAGAATACCCCCACCCCCACCCCAATGCAGAGAAGACTGGGAAACACGTGTGACCCAAGCCATACAAAACCAGCCTGAATGCAAACCCACTCCTATCCAGCCCGTTCCGACTCACAGCGACCCTGCAAGGCAGAGTAAAACGGCCGCATCTTTCTTCCGGTGGGTTCAAACCACTGACATTCCAGTTGGCAGCCAGCCCAGGACTTGGCCACTGTGCCACCTGGGCTCCTGCTCTGGCTCATTACAATGGGATACGACTGAGCCAAAACAAGAATGAAGCACTGACAGACAAGAGGGTGGGACATCCAAACGCACATCCAAACCGTGCTGAGGTTAAGATAGGAGATACAGGGTCACCCAAGCCTGGAAGTACAGACCAGGACTCTCTGTCTGTTATGACAGAGAGCAGACAGTGGCTGCTGGGCATTGGGTGGGAGAGGGATGGGCTGAACTGCTTAGGGGCCACCTGGGGGGTCTATTTTTTGGCGGGGATGACAGAACCAGAGTGAGGTTGGTACTTGCCTCCAGGTGTGAACACTCAAAGCTACTGAGCTGGTCCCTTAAAAATGCTTCCTTTAATGCTGTCAATTCTACTTCCCTTTTTTAAAAAGTGACCCTAGCATGCCTCCCTCTCCACCCCCACCCACCCCCAATAAATGCGCCCTCGCAAGCACTAGTCTCAGGAGAACCCACCCACCCACCATCTTCAAGAAAGCCAACACGTGGGCCACTAGCCCACCGTCAGAGGGTCAGCAGTGAGGAAGGCAGCCCTTTGCTGGACTGTCCCTCTGCTCCAGGGGGTTTCCTGGTAGGTTTGGCCTCTCCTGAAATTCCAGTCCCAGGTGGAGTGGAGTCGGGGCAGATCACCTGAGGCCACCGGTTCCCGGATCCAGGTGATTCTCATAAGGCACATTCAGGAAGGATCTGGTTCGAACTGGACAATGACACTTTGAAATGGTTCAGAGTGGTAGTTTAAAGAGCCGGTTGTCATTAGATGTCCATGCGTCAATTGTGACTCATGGAGACCTTATAGGACCTTGTGGAACTGCCCTCATAGTTTTTAAGGCTGGAGATCTTTCTTTATAGCAGGGGCTCCTTCCCATGCAAGCACTGGTGGGGTTGAACTGCCGACCTCTTGGCCAAAAGCCGAGAGAAGATAACCACTGCACCACCCAAGATCCCTTTATGCTACAGCCAACTCATCCATTCCAACTCCTAAGGACCCTATAGGACACCTGTAGTTCGAAGCCAAATGCTCAACCCACTGCACAACTGACCATGTATACTTCAAGGAAAAGAGGGGCCTGAGAGCCAGGACCCTATGAGACCACCAGCACCATCATCACCCCCAAGCACACACCACTAACCCCATTCTGCTGCTGCCAACTGGACCTGAGAGCTAGGGTTTCCTCCTGCCACCAGCCTGTTAGCCTCCCTGCCCCCTCCCTCCACCAAGGAGCCACAGTGGTCACTCTGAACCAAAGTCCCTCCAAACAATGGGGAGCTGGCCGCAAGACTCTGTCGACTGTGGGAGACACGTAAACTTCTCACACTGGTTCACAAATGCCAAAGACCGAAGGGGCGTGTTCTGTGCACCATCTGAGCCCCGGCAGGGCGGGGTGATAAACAACACAGGTGTGCGGACAGGTAGGCAGAAGGCAACGGAAAGGAATGTCATCACTCGGAGCCCAGCGTGCCTCTCCTTTGTCCGCAGCGACACACGGACTTTCTCAGATTCGAAGAGATTCGGGAAGGAATCCCAGGATTAGCAGTCCCACCCATCCGTGAAATGGCTTTTCCTCCGTCAACGCTCCCTCCCCACCCCCACACAAATGCACACAGGTCAGACGGCAAGGAGGCTTCCGAGGGCGGTGAGACGGAGCTGACCACGGGGATGGGTGGGGACGGATGGACAGAGTCAGTCTTAGGGCTGGGAGACCCTGGGCGAGGGGCGGGAGGCCTGCAGGGGCGGCGGGACCGCAAAGAGGCAGAAGCCCGAAGAGGCAACCAGGGCACGGCAAGCGGGCAGGGCGGATGGGGCTCCAGGAGATGAGGCCAGAGGCCAGGCCAGGTCCGGGGGGGAAAGGGGTGGGTCGGGGCTGACGCTGTGGGTGGGACAGGGACCGAATCTGGCCCGACGCCGGGCTCGGGGTGGAAAGGACCCAGAGGGCCGGGGCCGGAGAGGAAGGGGCAGCGCGGGGGCAGGGAGGGGTGGGAAGGACGCGCAGGCCGGGGCCGGGCTGTGAAGGGCTGAGTGGGGCCGGGCCGCAGGAAGGCCGGGCGTGCACAGAGGTGCGGACTGTACCTCTGCGGAGCTGGCCATGTCGCCGGCCGGCGGAGCAGCCGCCGCCAGAGCTGCAACCCCGGGGCCACCCGCCTGCCCGGCCAGGGATGCTCAAAGCCGGCGCGTCCCGGGCTCCACAGAGACCCTAGGAGGGGGCGGGGCCCCCGTCACTTCCGGCGCCTTCCCGCACGCACTTCCGGGAGTCCTCTGGCGTGCGCCCAGCGTGGGTAGGATTTGGCGACGCCGAGGACGTACGCTGGGGGGTGGGGCCTTCGGCTTCGCAGAGACGAATGTCTGCCGCTGAGAGAGTGTTTTGCTCTTTTGAGAACTATCTATAAGGGATCGGAGTGACAGCAGAGACTGGGGAGATTAGATAGAAGGCTTGGGGTGGGG